GTCCAACATGCTGAACTTGAGGCTGAACTTGAGACTGTCCAACATGCTGAACTTGAGGCTGACCTTGAGACTGTCCAACATGCTGAACTTGAGGCAGCTCTTCAGGCTGTTCAACATGCTGTCCTTGAGGCTGTTCTTCAGGTTGCTCTTGAGGCTGCTCTTGAGGCTGCTCTTCAGGCTGTTCAACATGCTGAGCTTGAGGCTGTTCTTCAGGCTGCTCTTGAGGCTGCTCTTCAGGCTGGTCTGGCTTTGGAGGGAAAGGAACCTGTGATTTCATGTCAGTAGTCACTTATTGCAGGAAGGATTTGAGAACATACGGAGAGATCATCGTCGGTAGACATCTCGATACTCATCATCAGAGGTCTCCTCTCATCAGTAGTCCCAGATTCCAAGTCGTTGCAAGGTAGGTAACGCTTGGAGAGTTGGCTAATAGGAAACATCGTGGAAGGAAGAGGTGGGAGAATTTAAGGCCGCAGATACAGCTACTGCTTCACAAAGGCGAGAAGGCAGTGGTGCTAGGCAGTGGTAGAACAACTGCCCGATTGTGTGGTTGCAGTGGTGGACAAAGAGAAACGGCTGGCATCTAGCAAACCTGGTTACGCGAGCTGGCTGCGAGCATAAATAGACTTACATGTGATCAGAGTGAAGCACTCTGTTTTTTGTTGACCTGCCGTATCTGCAGTGCCGAGCACGCGTATCCTTGTCCTGCGGTGAAGAGTTGCACTGTCGGCAGCATGCAGAATAATGCCGACTTTGTCGCATCCGGAATTCGAAGTTTCTTGGTTGAAGCACATCAACTGCTCTTCCCCAGCTTCTCAATGAAACCTCTCAGGCCCATTAGCCCCAGCCAGACAGCTTCCTCAGTCCGGATTGTGCGACTGCCTTGTCCGGGCAGTACATTCACCCAGCAATCAAACAACTCCTTCACGTTCGGTCCGGTAAAGCCCATGTTCTGTAATTCAGGATCATTCCTGGCCGCGTGTTCCAAGCCAGCAACTCCGCCAAAGACAATGAGAACATGTTGAAAGGAAAGCGCGTCCGGGGTGGAATAGTCTGGTCTGGCAAGAACTTCAGGCAAAGGAACTCCTCTCTCGGAGGTACCAAGAGAGATATCGTACCCGCCGTCGAAGGGGCATTCTGTGAAGACATCGGAGAGGCTGCTGCACTGTCGTACGACGTAGCCCCAGTAAAATCCTTTCACTTCTCTCGGAGTACTGGGGGACACTGCTGTTGCGATCTTGGAGGTTGGATTCTGCAGTTCGACGGTGATGCGAGTTCCTCGAGGTATGTTCGCGTCGGGGATTTCTCGTGGCTCAGAAAGACCGACGTCCACGAGGGTCCCGTTTCTGCCGGGGGAAGGATCCAAGGCCACGCCTTCGCGATATTCACACCATTCATTCGTCCTCAAGTGGTGCGGCATATCCAGGCTTGGCAATGTGCCTGCCGTCCGGAGATTGGGGTGCATGGGGAAGAGTGTTCTGCGTAAGTGAGGCGGAGTTTCTAGGTATGACAGGACATGGGCGAGAAAATGATCGGGGTGCGAGAAGGCGGTATAGTCGTGCTCTGCGACGGCAGGTCGTCTGCGGCGTACTTCAGCATCCTCATCGTCGAAGATGACAACCTCGTCGACGCAGAACACTGCCAAAGCTCGGGCGATCTGACCGGCCAGATACGTCTTTTGTTCGTGAGATTTGGCATTGGCAATGATACTGCCAGGAAGGGCAATGGTCAGTGTATATGAGCGACCCCCGGTGGGACGGAAGACGGCAGATGGTTTGGAGGTATCAACATCTGCTTCTCCCTTCAAGTTGTCGGCATCGGCATCGTGCCTTCCCGTCTTAAGGGCCTTGTCATTTCCGGCGTCTCTTTTGCGCTTCTAGAAAATGGTCAGCGCGGGCCGACGGGGGGGAGGGAAAGAGATGAATATTGGCCTACCTTGTCTTTGGGCATCCTAGAGCAGATCAACGTACAGAGCCGTACAGAGCGAACGACGAATAGTACAGAGTACAGGACTCGGGACTCAGGCGGTGGAAATGAGGTCGGTAGTGCAGGATGATAAAATGTTGGCATACATATTTTGCAGGGCAGCCTTGCACCCACGTGCCACGCCAGGCACCAGCCACCATTCACCGCCACAGTCGGCGTCATTGTGGCTTGATTCTGTGCTTATGTAACTTGAATCCCTCAGCCCACGTGAGCCCCCTTAGCCCAGGCCCCTAAGCCCCAGGCCCGTGACTTGGACCGCGAAAGGGGAAAAAGGAGTATGCAACTAACTTCCACTATAATGAGACAGTAAACTTCTGATACCCATGTCTGCCTCGTCCGCCTCGTACTTGACATCCACCCAAACCGCCAGACTTCTGGTGCTTCCGTTTGAAAGTCTGCTCTTTCAGCTGACTCCGTATTGTACCACTACTTACTCCTTATTCTTCATTCTGGTGTACACTTCACCCCCCTTCACCTATCCTTGTACTTCACTCTCGTCTTTCCTGCGACTTCATCAAACCACGTCGCCCTCCACCTAATTTCACGCGCGCTGATCCCAACACACCATCCTTACCGATCCACTCTCCTCAAACACGCTCACGCGACCATGAAGAACGGACGCCGGCGCGTACCCCTCCTTCTTCTCCTCCTCCTAGCCTCCGTCCTCTCTTGCGAAGCATCGGTGGCCACCCTTCCTCGTGGATTGTCTGCTGCAAAGAATCTCAAGAACGCCGGCTCCCTAGGAGAAGTGGTCGCCGCATCGGGAGGAGGAAGTGTCGGGAAACCTGTGGGCACCGAGCATGCTCCTGTCGATGGAAAAGATGGAATGCCGCACGAGGGTCCGTTCGTCGAAACCACCGCAGAGCGTACAAGGAAAAAGACTCAAGCGTCGGGGCTTGACGATGATCTCGTGGCAGATGACTCCCAGTTCAAGAAGACCTACTCAGAACAATATTCCGATGCCGACATCCCGCTGTCCAATGACGCGGTCATGGACGACCGGCTCACTTCCAACCCTGCTGAAGGTACCAGAGGGGTAGAAGGCGGCATCTCGGAGAAGTCTAAAGAGAGCAAACTCACGGACAAGAGACCCGATCCTCCCAAGGACGCGAGGCCCCTACCGCACAGCGAGGTGGAACACATCAAAGAAGCCGATGGCTCTGAATTAGCAGCGGCTTTGGAGGAGGATCCTAAGAAGGTCCTTGCGGTAAGTTGGACTCTAGCTCAGGTTCCGTACTCAAGAGACTCATTTCGCTGCAGGCTCCGACAGACCTCCCAGAAAAGCCGTTCGATATTCCACACCCTGAGAACCCGTCCTCGCCCAAGGACAGCACGTTTTCTTCAGAAACCGGCACCAAGCCTTCCAAGTTAAAGGAACCAGAGAGTGCCGTGATACAGCCGATGCACTCCCTCCTCCTCTCATTCACCATGATCATCTTCTCCGAGATTGGAGACAAAACATTCCTGATCGCCGCTCTCATGGCCATGCGCCACCCTAGAGTGGTGGTATTTACGGCCGCATTCTCTGCCCTGATCACCATGACCGTCCTCTCGGCAGTTCTGGGCCACGCGGTCCCGACATTGATCCCAAAGTCGCTCACCAACTTTGCCGCCGCAGGCTTGTTCCTAGTTTTTGGAGTCAAAATGCTACTCGAAGCCCGGGGAATGAGCCCTGACGAGGGTGTTGGCGAAGAAATGAAGGAGGTCGAAATGGAGCTGGAAGAGAAGGAACATCAACAACGGCGAATGTCCAGACGTCGATCATCCATTTCCCCGTATGCTCTAGAAGCGGGCCGCGGAGCGATTGGAAGAAAACACACAAACGGTCGCCTTCCATCTCCACCCGAAAGCCCGGCGAGCTCTCGGGAGAGTTCTCCTACTCGCGGATCAATGTTGAACAATGTGCTTTCTGGGATCAACAACCTTTGCTCCTTGCTCCTCAGTCCCGCCTGGGTGCAGACTTTTGTCATGACCTTCTTGGGTGAGTGGGGTGACCGGTCGCAGATTGCTACCATTGCCATGGCTGCCGGACAGGACTACTGGTGGGTGACCGCTGGTGCACTAGGAGGACATGGCATCTGTACTGCTGCAGCGGTGTTGGGGGGCAAGGCGATTGCTGGAAAAGTCAGCTTAAAAACAGGTACGTTTGATGCCGGCAACTTGATCAATGCAGCTTTGGCAGTTACTGACGTGTTGGCGCACAGTCACCATGGGCGGTGCGATCGCATTCCTGGTATTTGGTGTTCTCTACCTGCTCGAGGCGGTGTATTAATGGCCGTCGCTATTCATTTTCTGTCTCTACACGCCCGCCGAGTTCGAGTATACGTGGTCAAGCTTTTGGCGCAGAAAGGAGTCAATGTGGACCTGCACTTCGGGGCCAAATGGGTCAAGCTTAATGTGATAACGACCAGCTCCTGGATGGAATCTTACGGCTTCGTTGCTTCTTGCTTCTCTCCGAACCGATGGCTTTTGTCGGCAAGTCTACTTTGACGGAAGGGGGAATGCGTCGTATGGGATGGATAGGACAGGGCGTTTGTTTCAGGGCAGGAGGATCCGGAATGGAATCAAAAGTAAAAAGGCATATGACATGCCAGCATAACCCGCCAGGGAACGGAACAATTGTACAGGTACAGACCAGACGGGACCGGACCAGCAAAGAAGATGGATTCCTAATACTCTCTGATTTTTGCCTTTGCCCAGCCGTGTATCTAAGACACGTCTGTCAGATGGGCCGGGGCTTGAGGATAGGACGGAAGGGGAAGGGGATTGGATCGCATAGCGGTGGTGTTTGGGTTGATGGGTTCCTCGTACTTCTTGCCGGTATTGGTGTTGGTGTCAGTGTTGTTTGTGGGTTGGGGATCAGACCATGAGGGAGTCTACTGATCGACACGCTATTCTATTCTATTCGGTAGTAGTAGTAGTGGTACAGTTAGAAGTTATTCGGTACGATCTTTTCTTTTTTCTTTTTTCTTCTTTCTTCGGTCGGCGATGGTGTGGTATGGGAGGTGATGGCGAGGGTACCTACCTAGGTAAGGATACAACAACATATAGTAGGTATACAGCACACAGTACGGACTATACGGAGTCATTGGTTCATTAGTTGATTCATTCATTACTTGTTAGAATACTTCAACTTCAAGAACACCCTACCACTCCCTGATGGACTTATGGACTGACTGCGCATCTGAAATCTAAGATCCTAGACCCTAGAATGGATAGAGGACGTAGACATACATCTCTAGGTGCCAGCTCAGCTAATTATCTCGGCTGACTACTAATTCATCATAACGTCGAATCTGAATCCTCGTCGGTGACAACGCAACACGATCGTACTTCTCTCATTGGTGACAAGGCGATCGTATTTCTCTCATCCGTGGACCGTGGAGTATCAGAATGTCCAGGGGAAGGAAAAGACATTCAACCCAAAAACACGAACAGAAAACAGAGCAGAAAATTCCTCAATCCGACATGCTAAACTAACGGAACTTTTTCGTCATGACCGTAATTAGCTAAAAGTCACACTCCCTCCCATAGCCCATAGCCCATGTCCTGAATGCCCTGAATGCCCTGTTCCTTACCAACCATCCCGACTGCCTGGCCCTGTGTGTGCCGGTCCTGGTCCTGATCCTGGTCCTGAACCCCGTTACCGAAACCCGTAAATCCAATCCCACGCATAACACCAAAAGGAACCCAGTTCCACGATCAGCATAGAGAGTCGCAGAGATCCTGAACAGTCAATGCTGCCTTGCAAAGGCCAGACCAAGTTGATTCCCACATCTAGAAGACCCAACCCAAACCGCCGATCAACAATATTGACCGTCCGAGACACCAGCTGTGGCGTTGGTGTTACCTTCACCGTCCACCGCATGGAGAAAACTCGAATGGCTGAGCCGACAACTCAACCTCTCTGTTTCGGGCGACTCAGCATGTTTAAGCGGCTGAGGCTCAAGATTCCCTTGCCCTTACGATCCCTGGCGTTGTTCTTTGCCATTTCTCGTGCCGAGCTTGGTCTGGGTTTCTTCATGCCGGCTTTCGTCGGCTCCTCCGCCGTGTCGACACGGACACGCTTGCCACCGCGCTTTGCACCTTCGTCTTGACTTTCAAGAGACGAACTGTCCTGCCAGCCCCCTGGCACGGACGGCATGACTGAGATACGGCGGTTCTCCTTACCATCCTCTTCACTGCTATCTGTATCAGCCGAAACTGTAGACTCGCGCCGGCGTTTCTTGCCAGGCAATCCATGAGGAACTGTCTGGACGTCGGTATCCTCAAACGGCTGCACAGTGTCGGTCACGCCCGAGGTCCGGACACGACGAATGGTGGAAGGCGAAGGCCTAGAGGAGTTGACGTTGCTGGGAGATTGCATGACCTTGTTGGCGTTAAATGTGGGATCGGTCTTGTTCATCATGGTGTTGACTGATGTTAGTGTCGATGGTGGAGCCGGCCGAGAGGGATGATGCAACGTGGTGAAGATTGACCTGAACTCGCTAGATTCGCGGCGGTTGTGATCTTTGGCCTTCTTCGAAAACGTAGCTTCATCCCTGGACTGAACAGGACTCGACGAAGCGGCTGGCAACGTCGGGTAATCAATTTCACTTCCGGCGTCTTCCCAGTCTTCGTCATCATTGTCGTCTTCGAGTGTATATGCAGCCGAGTCGTAGGGCACAGCTGGCCCAAGAGCCTTTCCAGGGGTGAGATGTGGCAATTTAGCAGGGCTAGGGCTTCCAGCCGCCAGCTTGACGGCGTATCTGGACTTGACACTGGGAGTGAAATCAACTTTTTTCAAAGATCCGTTACCAGAAGTGACGCTGTCAGTGTTGGACCGCTTGGGAGTGCGCTGCTTTTCTTCAACTGGCGTCTCAACGTCTGTCTTTCGCCCAGAGCGCAAAATCGATTTCAGACCAGCGAACTTGGGGAGTCTCGACGAAAAGCTTTGGTGACTGGATAGTGAAGATAGCATGGCGGTAGACCTAGACCGCTGGGGTGAACCTTGCTCGATGGAAGGTACAGTTGAATCTTCCCTCGGCAAGGCTGGAAGAGGCCTATCCAGACCGAAGCTTTCCACATGTGGCAACTTTGACAAAGGCTGGCTAGTCATTCCTGCATGGGCAGTGGCTGGTCTAGCCTTCGGTACTGTCGAAGCTGTTCTCAATGATTTGACGGAGGTGGTGCGTGTGAGCCCGGGAGCTTTGGTGGGTGAGGCAACCGGAATCTGACTTGTTGCAGTTCTCGCCATAGACGCCTTTGTAGGCGACAACAAACTGCTCGGTACTGGTCTCGGCAGCGTGGCTGGCCGAGCAGACTGCGACGCTTCCGATGGTCGACTAGCGGAGACATCCTGCAGTTCCGAGCGACGAGCGCGTTTAGCAGGAGCTGTGTTCTCAAGCCGTTCCGGCTGAGCAGGAATGGATTTGAATGGACTGACGGATGTTGGACGACCGAGGAAAGGTGGGGGGGCTTGACCTGGTGTTCCCCTTCCAGAGGTCCGTGGTCGGTCAAGCTCATCAAGACCGGCCTTTGAGCCGCTTCTCTTCAGTGATTGGGCTGTGGGCTGGGCGAACCCAGGTCTTGCGCGGTATGCGGATGCGTGGTTGGCAATAGAGTCCATCTTCTTGAACTCCGCCATGTGGATGTCGCTGAATCGTCCTGCCTTGCCTCTAGGTTTCGCAATCTTTCTTCCAGACGCGTTGATACCATTGAAAGAGGCCTCGGCTTCGGCGTCTTTCTGCTCTTGAGCTTCTTTTTCTGCTTGCATCTGGGCCTTTATCCTCGCGGCCTCCTCTCGGACATTGTCCATCAGTTTTTGTGCCTCATTACTCAATTTGTACTCTGAGCCAAATTTAAAATCAAATGAGGTGGACGACAGGTTGGCAGGAGTATTCAAACGCGGTTTCGACGGAGTGTTCTGTGCACTTGCAATGGAGCGAGGCGGGTTTGCAGGGATGTCGACAAACCCAAGCTTGAGCCCAGAGTCTGGAGCTTTGGTGGTGCTGTGGTGAAGTAAGCCAGGATGCATCTCGCCTCGATCAGGTCGTGGCTCGGTTCGAGGGGTCTTGAGGCCTGATAGCTTGGAGAGCTGAGACCGGACGGCCTCGGAAGAGGCAGGAGTAGCAAGGACATTGTCGATAGACTGGGACTCTCCCCCATCGGGAGTCTCATCCCGTTCTACGAGTGATTCAAGGTGTGCGGCCGAAGGAGCTTTACGAAATGTCGCATGCTGTCAGATAATTAGCTCACAGCTCACAGCCCGTAATGCTGATGGGTAACAAAGAGACGAAGGAGAGAGGCGGCACAGCCGCTGAAAGCGGAGAATGCTCAAGTATCAAGTAACTGGCGAACGTTACCTGTTTGTGACCAGCCTTGTTCAATCGTGCAGAGCGACGACGAGGGGTAGCCATTTTGCATCACCATGCAGAACCCTGAGGAGCGCGCACAGGACAGAGGCTTGAGAGTGAGAGGGAGGAGACGTGACTTGTATCAGAGGATCCGTAGATGGTCCGTGGAGCGAAGTGTGGAGGAAGATAGGGCCACGAGGGAATTGTTGATGCTACTGCTAGTGACTTTTGAGCGAGCAAGCTGGACCAGTTTGTTTGGTGCAAGTTATTACGTCAGGCTATAAACAACGCTCGATTGGGCGTGCCCGCTGGCTTGGCGCGGTAGAGCAACACACGAAGTCATGTGATGCGTGGCTCACAGGATAATGACTTTCTCAGATGCATGAATAGTAAATACTCATAGTACGGTGTCCATTCAAGCCAGACTTGACATGGGCATTGGATACGTAATGGTGTGCGCGTCTGGTGCTCTAGTCGAGGCTAATAGTCGAGACTAATAGAGGAGCGCGGTTTGCTGGCACGGTTGTGAAGAGGGTGGTAATTGGGATTCTTTCAAGCTGATTCAAGCTGCTACTCCCGCAGCAGCTAAGCCATCAAGCAAGCAAGGTGAGTCTACACTCGTTGAGCCTGTTCGAATGGATGGTAGGCCGCTCCAAGAATCGCCGCAGCCCGGACGGCCTACCGGAATGGAACGAGGCCGTCGCTGATGGGATCGTCGGTGCTGCACGATGATTTTCGTGGCATCGGCATGGCCAGCCATATTTCCATCTGTCTGAGTACGATAGAAGACAGGGTAACCGATACGATAGCCTGTGATATCATGATACTCATTCTGCTCGGTCTCTTTCATGTCCATGAGGAGGAGATTCTGGTCACATTACCAGAAAACGGCTGGGGAACTCGCAATAGCTACCACCATCATTGCTGTCGTGATATCAAGTCCGGGTTTCTTCAAAGAATTTTTATGTGTGTCTTTTCCGAGGCACAAAGCACACATGTACCGAAGCGAACGCTGCTTCCCATGGGGCAGCCAGCTTGCCCTCATGCCGACAGAGTTGCAATGCAACCACTAACAGACCCCGTCTGATGTAGAGCGAAGTCGAAGGGGTTATAGTCAAAGTCGTGTCTCCCATGGCTAGTCCTAGACCACGGTGTACGCAACGGGGTAGAGTTGTCGTTACTCGGTCCTTCCTGAGCATGTTTGGTTGCGGTGGATTGCGATGAGACTGCTCTTGACTGTTTGCTCCTCAAGAGGAGGTTTGGTTTGGAAGTGCTCTCACTCAAAAGCAATGAGACGAGGCCAGTTGTATCTATGTCCGCATAGACTCTTCTCCTAGTGCTAAAGGTGCGGCAGAATATCTCGTGGTATGTAACTTACAAGTCTCAGTGACTGCGCTTTGCCCCTCATCTTTCCTTCGGGTTGAGTCATACTGCAAATCCCAATACCAGGAAGTCATCAAATAGAAAAGTGCGAGAGAACATTAACCCTGTGCCCTCGAGAGGAATGTCCACGAGAAAAGAAGAAGTTGCAGCGCCTGATGATCATTCGTTCATTGACCGCGGAGACGCACCAACGGGCGCAGGAGCGAAGCGACAAGCGACCGGTGAGGGTGACTGCCCGGGGAGGCTTGAAGACAATGGGGAAGCCGAAGCCAGTAACGATTGCAGGGACTCCTAAGGCCCAGGCGCTGAAGCCGAAGCCACAGGGGGGAAACACAGACCATGGCGCAGCCGACGCCGCCCGGCAGAGCAGTGCCGGCGGCAAACAGGGTGTGGCGAGGGACGCCAGGCTCTTGCCTAATTCGAGAAAATTCGACGAGCAGAAGCCTCGTCTTGCCGAGCAGCAACAGCAGCAGCAGCAACACCGACCCCAGCAGCAGAACAATAGAGTTTCCTCACCCGCACCCCAAGCTCAAAGTGCGCCCCTAACGGCCGGTGTGAAAGACGCAGTCGGCAAGCTGCACCGCCCAACACGCTCAACCTCCTACACAACTCCGCTCCCACTGTTGGGCAACGAGTCGAAGCTAAAGGCGGGAACGGCGGCAGCTACCCAGGCTCCTCTGACTGAGGAAAACCTTCGAAGCCTCCTCCGCTCGCTGGACGGTAGTGGCGGCAGAAGAACTGCTGCTGAGCCTGCTGCCCGTGCCAGTGCCAGTGTCACTGATCCTGATCCTGCCCCACCCACAGCCGCAACGACTGGTCCAAATCCATCATCATTCATGCGGAAGTCAAAATCCCCCAAGAAGCACGACAAGGACAAGGACAAGAAAAAGAGCAAACCCGACCCCGACACACATCCATTGAACCTGCCTCCTGACCAGCTGCGTCAACTTACGGTCCAGATGGCTCGACAAGAGGCTGAGGCCGAGGCCGAGGCCAGCGCCAATGCCAGTGCCAATGCCAGCAAAGAATCAGCGTCCGCAGAGAAAACTGCCCCGGAGACAAACAATCATGAATTCGTCTTGCCCCAGGGTAACTTGCCCCCGGGCAACGTGTCAAAAAAGGCTCCAGTCGCTTCTCCCGAGACACCCAGTGATGGGACGACGACGAACGGTGTCAATGGTCATGATGAACGAAGTCCGACTCCCCCACCGCACCGGGTTCCTGCTGCGCCCAAAGTAGATCCAGAGGCCTGCAAGGCCGCAGGTAACAAATTCTTCAAGGCTAAAGACTATGATAAAGCAATTGAAGAATACACCAAAGGTACGGTCTCCCACCAGCGTGGTGCTGCATCTGAGGCTGACAAATTTTTCTTCCAGCGGTCGAAGCAGATCCTGCAAACCCAACCTACTTATCAAACCGAGCCGCCGCCTATATTTCTGCCAACAGGTACAGCCAAGCCCTTGGTGATGCGTTACAAGCAAGCAGATTAGATCCTCAAAATGACAAAATCCTTCATCGACTCGCCCGAATCTACACCTCTCTCGGCCGGCCCCAAGATGCCTTGGACACCTACGCGAGGATCCCGAATGCCTCAGCCACAGATACCGCCGCGGCCCGGAAAGCTTTGCAAGCGATTGAAGTGGCAGAGAAACAAATCAACTCGGAAGGTGGAAATGGCAATATGGCGCTTTGGAGCATCGAACAGGCTAGACAGACACTAGGACCTGGGACACCAACACCTCGAGGATGGCAGATACTGAAAGCCCTTGCTAACTTGAAGGTTGGATCTGTAAATTCATTAGGGGAGGTCCAAGCAATTGCCCAGATCTTGCTGCGTGAGAATCCTATGGATGCCGAGGCCATGGTCCTCGTGGGGCAAGCCTTTTACCTGAGAGACGAGAAACCTCAGCAGGGCAAGAGCGATTACGAACGTGCAGAAGAGTATTTTAGACAAGCACTGGCACTCGACCCTGACAACACCGCCGCTCGAAATTACCTGCGAACCATGAAGAAGCTGGACAGGGCGAAGACGGAAGCCAACAACCTGTTCAGAAGGGGCAAATACTCGGAGGCAGTGGCAGCGTACACGGAAGCTCTGAGCATTGATCCCGCCAACAAGGCCACCAACGCGAAACTCTTGGGGAATCGTGCCATGGCACGGATCAAAATCAAAGAGTTCGAGGAAGCCAAGACCGACTGTGACCAAGCGTTGAAACTGGACCCAACATACATGAAAGCCCGCAAGACCCGCGCTAAAGCCACGGGTGAGTCAGGCGACTGGGAACAGGCCGTGAAGGACTGGAAGGCGTTGGTCGAAGACAACCCCTCCGATGCGGAGTTGAACAAGGAATTGCGCAATGCGGAGCTGGAGTTGAAGAAGTCTAAACGCAAGGATTATTACAAAATCCTCGGTGTGGATAAGGATGCAGGGGACAAGGATATTGAGCGAGCGTACAAGCGCAAAGCGGCCGTCCTGCACCCCGACAAGACGATGGGGGACAAGGCCAAAGAAGAGGAGTTCAAGGACTGTCTCGAGGCCAAGGAGACACTGCTCGATCCGCAGAAACGCCATATCTACGACACCGGAGCGGATCTGATGGAACCTGGTATGGGAGGAGGATTCCCTGGCGGCATGGGAGGCTTTGGCGGCATGGGTGGTGGTGGAGGCGGGGTTCAGATTGACCCTGAGATGCTGTTCAACATGATGAACGGCATGGGCGGCGGTGGCGGAGGCGGATTTAGATTCAGCAATGGTGGTGGACGGGGTGGACAGTCGCCGTTTGGTTGAGTGTCCTTGGCGTCGAGAAGTTACACGTGGCCGACATCGAGCTTGCGTTTGCTGGCTGGATCAGATCAATACGATGGCGGGTTCGGCTACGATTCTGAAGAGCTTGCGTGTGTCCCGGACGTCCGCCGAGTCGAAAGAAATTTCCCAACCAGGTCACCAACAGGTTACCAACAAGGCAGCCAGCAGTTATGTACGTGAGCAGGACAACTCAGACTCGATAGCAAAAGGACCTCCAGGCGCAGAAAAGCATTGCATTGCACATGACCGGCATTTACTTTGGGCCGCGGTCAAAGACTTGGGCGTGTTTCATCTACCATCCATGGTCGAGGTCGAGGCGAGTCGGTCGTACACATGCGCATTGAATTCTGAAAGAAGAGCAGGAGACGCACGCAGCCACGTCACATCGAAGCATGTCGTTGGGGAGGGAATGTCTGATTTGTGCCGTGGTGACAGCATTGCATGGTGTTGGCATCGTGACGGTGCTTGGACATACAGCGAGACCCACCACTGCAGAAGGGGCCACCGCATATCATGGCGTTCGGGGACTTTCATATGCTCGGGATTTTAGGTAATGCCAAAGGTATCTACCTAGGAGATGGATAGACGCCGGCAATGTCGTACTGGTTGATGACTGCCCGTGATAGATGGAGATAGCTCCCATTCAAATGCCCGAATACAAGTTGCACGATCTGACTGAACTAAAGTGTCGAATGCCTTTAATAGTATCCGTACCTAAAGTAGAGTCCGATGCGGGTCACGGTAGATCGATAAGATGTGGGGATAGACCCATATGGACTCACCAGATCTATATTAATAGGGATACCACGCGCCGGTGGTACAGGATCGTCGTGGGAAAGGAAAGGCAAGGAAAGGAAAAAGGGGGGAAAGGAAACTGCTAGCCAGCCATGATCGGAAGAGCACTTGTTCATGCAACACATAGTACGGGGCCAGAGCCAAAGACTTCAAGCGCCGGCGCCGTCATTATCATTGATACTATTATGGTGCTATCATCAGCATCAGTAGGATCCTCTCCATTCATCCTTGCTCGCCGTCATCTTCCGGCCCGCGTGCCCTGCCGTTGTCTCTGCCTGGACGGGCCGGCTCGAGTGGGAGTGGCTCTAGACTCGTGTGCAAGTTCATCCTCATCCTCATCCTCGCCCTCGCTCGGGTCCGAGGCTTGGTTGGGGCGCAGGGCTTTGTCTCCGGCGACCTTGATGCCCAGACTGCGTGAAAGCCTGGCGTTGAGCTCGTCCTCTTCAATTTTGACAATGGTCCTGCGCGGGGCGGGCTCGTCGTCGTCATCTGCGTCGTGTCGGTCGCGCCGGCCTTGGTCCTTAAGCAAGGGCACGGCGCCGTAGCCGTAGACAGTCCTCACCAGGCCGGTGACGCCGCGCAGGCCGACCTCGACTTTCCCGCGCGGGCCAGGCGAGTACTCGATCATCTCCTCGCCGCTGCTGGTGTCGCGGCGCTTGTCGAGATAGCCTTCGCGCAGCATGCGCTGGAGCAGTTTGTCCAGACTGCCGAATGGCGTGAAGGTGTCGGCGTTGACGCGCTTGAGATAGCGCTCCAGCTTCTGCTCGGTCAGGGAGTTGTTGTTGAGGTAGATCAGCGACAGGATAAAACTATATAGGCCCGTGTACGACGCCTCGGTCTCGACGCTGGGCGCCCGCGCGGGCTGGACGATGGCCGGGTTCGTCTTCAGCTCGGTCGGCAGGGTCGAAACCAGGATCCAACTCTTGGACGACGTGGAAGCGCTGGATTTCGTCTGCGTCGCGAGGTTGCGTCGGTCTTTGAGCGTCGTCTTCTCCCGCGAAGGCAGTTCCACCAGCTGCATGCCGAATGTGTCTGTTAAAATCTGCTGCGCTCCCTCGAACACGGCCTTGAACCCGCGGCCCGCTGCATTGCTCTCCTTGAACACTTTGGTCGAGATGTCACTTCGCCGCAACGCACTGCGCGAGTACTCTGTCGACAGCGCGAGCCGGACCAGCTTCTTGATCAGTGTGCTTGTCTGGACGTGGCCGGCAGAATGGGAGGGCGTCGATGAAGCTGAAGATGCCTGCGACGAGGAGGATGCAGAGCGCCGACGCCGCCGCGCTGGTGGTGCCTGTGTCCGTGTCTGTGTCCGGGGTGCCTCGGATTCTGACTCGGATTCGGAGGCGTCGCGGGATATGGCTGCTGCTCGCCGTTTGAGGGGCGGCATTATGGAAGTGGGAGGGGAGGGGTGATCGAAGTCGAAGTCGAAGTCGAAGAGGGAGTAAGTCAGGGGACACGGAGGACGCCAAAGGTCTAGGGGGACGTGAAGACAGGGCACTGGCACAGAAAGAAGAGTAATTGTGATTGTACGGAGGACTTTGTTATATTTCAACGGGGTCCGGAGACTCGTTAAACTATATACCAGGTACTTAAGGACTTAGGATAAAGTACATACGACGCGTCTCGTTAGCGCGTTAAAGCACCTTAACGTCTTTATAAGCCTTAGCAAGGTGCCGCTTTAATACTCACCCACCCTCCCTCTCATCTTCATAATCATCTCGTCCACCTTCACACTCGCCTGTCCACCTTTACACAGACCCAGCTCACCCTTTACACTCATCCTGTATCCTGAACTCTCCACAGTATACAGCGCCAACGAGGATCCAAAATTAGTCGCGGGCTGACCGTTCCCTCCCACGCCTTTTCGTCCCTCGAGCGCTTTCCTGTCCCCTTCGTTCCACCGAACCTCCACATCCGCCTACCTCCCCATAATGTATAAAGGTTCTGCTTCCAGCCCGCCGCGGCTGCGACCCTTCCTCCCTCTAGACCGCGATGCGCAGTCAGCTAAGCCTCTAGGGCCTAAGGCCGGACGAAGGGCTGCTTGCCCGTGTTACGGCCAAAGGCTACAAGCGAGGAGCATATAGAGAGGCCGACGAGGCCCGTGGCCGAGAGAAATATGTCCGAGAACGAAGAAGAACCAAGACGGTACCATTCGACGCTATGTCCTGTAAGAGCTGCCCCTCCTCCTCCGCTTTCCACGGCCACGCTCTTCGAGTTCTAATGCCGTATATAGATAGCATCTAGGAGCTATGAGAGAAAGTTGCGCACCTCCCTACTATTTCTTCAACACGCCTAAGAGCATCTAGCTAGTTATTTAATTCACACCAGCTGGACTGTGCAAGATGCCACCAACCGTCATCAATATTGAAGGTCGTGCAACCTTTAACGCCGTTGCCGAGCGAGCTACTCTTCTCGTTGACATCTCCGACTCCGGATATGACAAGGACTAAGTCTCGAAGAACGTGGTGACGATAGTCCGCGGTCTTCAGGCCGATCTCGACCAACATTGCTCCCGCCTTGACTATAGGAAGGGAGACATCTTACCCGATGCCCCTGTGAGCTTCTACTCTATCTCATCCCTGTCCACATCGAGCCGCGACGAAGTAGACCACCCCACGGGCAAACACACAGGCAAGGAGATTCTTATAGCGCACACCACGTTGGACGTCCGATTCCGAGACTTTGGCAAACTCGGCGAGATGGTCGTGTAGCTCTCCTCGTCACCCTTCGTCCACGTTAAAGGTATCACTGGAAGCTGACCGACGAGAAGAAAGTCATGCTCGCCGATCAAGTCAGGATGGATGCCGTCCGCCATGCAATCTAACGTGTAGAGGGCTACGCGCGGATCATTGGCCGCAGCAATGCCGTCACACCCGTTAAGATCCAGGACAAGGAAGAGTACTGGCCGACAGGTCGGGCACGGGCGAAGCAGACGGCGCGAAAGGTAGTCTTTGGTCTGGGCGCGGGCATCGACTTTGAGCCACAGGTGATAGAGGTTAGTGCGACTCTGGATGTTGAATTCCATGGAGAATAGGTTGAGGGTCAAGTATGAGGGAATCAATCCAGGGCTGGGTGTTTCTGTTCTCAAACGTCTGTTTGGCTTCCTTTCACCTGTCCACGGCAAAGCAGAGTCTTATATTCTTCGGTTTAGAAGGGCAGAATCTTCTTCTTGCTGTAACTTGTCCTAACGATTTCTTTGTCTCTAGACGGCATCGAAGAAGCAGAAGTGCATTGATAAAGGTTTACCCCAAAGGTACGCGACAGCCATCGACCAAGGTCCCTGCCGCTCTACCCAAACAACACTTTCGTGTTTCCTCCATACCATATGGGGACGGCCCTGAGCGTCGAGATGCGCCAGGGATTGCCTGCGGTGTTAAGCACCTTGGTCAACTCAATCTCGTAGCGACCCTGTGTTTAATGTCAGTGATAAAACCCACAAAAATGTAGCCTCGCGTACTCCGTTCGTGGTATTCTCTCCGCCCGTGGTTCCCTTCTTGGTGATATTCACCAGAAAATACGCAATGGCGGACGCATGCTCAACTTTCTCCATAGAGCCTGGTGGAGGAGGGAGAGAGATCAAGAGCGAGCTGCACCTCAGGACATCGGATTAGTTATTTTTGGTCAACCATCGTCAGGACCAGAGGTATCTCCGTACGTTACGACGTGCTGTGTAGCATCCATCGGTTCCATCAAGGTCTTCCAGTGTGCAACTGCGTCTTGCGCTGTTTTGCTCTCAACCTCCCCTCCAAACATGAGAGTGTAGTCAAGATTGATCGGGTCTGCTATCACTTGGGTCTCCAGTTGATCCCACTGCTGCATATCAACATATGTGGCCTTCGTTCCACAGTGGGGTTAGTCTCATAAATATAAATGCAAGATCAAGTGGGTGGGAGTGGTGAAACTGACCAATTTGGTGACGGTGTCATGGATATTGGCTCGGTCCAGCAAATAGTCCGTGGTGTCGTATTGCGACATATTGGGGGCTTGGAGGTCGGAGGTGATGTCGACAAACTCTGTTAAGCGTGTTTAGGGGTAGTGAGTGATGGAGTCGTTTGTGAGACAAGTCGAAGGATTTTATACACGTCCCTCCTTCGCCAGGATCCGTCCCCGTACCTCCACAAGAATGAGCTGTGAAAGGGTCCAATCTTTTATAAATCCGGAACCGACGTATGACATATTAACGTCGCCACGATTGCTATCCAGTGTAACGGAGATAATAGACAGCTCGGTCGACCGGTGGAGACGCCTTGATAAGGCCGGCCACCGGGGGCACCAGGGGGTTAATCATGAATTGCTTCTATCAGACAGTCTCGGAAGTTACACTTCTCAAATAGTACAAATGCAAGCATTTGTTTAATCTAGCCTCCGCGGACTTGGTAGCAGTGAAACCGATCGGAGCCGTTCTCTGCAAAAGCACAAGTGAAATAGTGGTAGACAGTTCTGATGCCCGGCAACAACCACCATCATCCTTCCATCCCCCATCCCCCATCCCTCATCCCTCATCCCTCACATCATCCAGGTCCCTCACAACGGGTGCACAAAGTCCAAACCTTTGTCCCCTTCCAACCCATTGGATTCTGAGCCCTCTGCCTGCATCTTTGCCTTCAAAGAATTTCTGCGCTTCAAGAGCAGATACAAGAGACCGACCAGCAAGAGAGTGGCTATTTCGCAGGACATGCTGACAGAATTCCCCATGACGTACCGAGGAGAGTCGCGAGGGATATAGAGCTGAGAACCAATGAGCCCGGAGCAGTTCGTGATGGTGAGAACCAATGGAATGGCAACCGCCCGCTTGTACTCTGGCGAAACGTTGTTTGCAACCCAAGTCAAAAATACCACACTGAAACTTGCCATGGCTAAAGTGATGATGGTCAGTACCAGAGCTGCTTTACAAACACCAAAAAGGCCAAATGAACATACCTGATGCGCACAAAAACATGGCGACATAGCCAACCACTTTGTTAGCACTGCCGATGATCATTGCGTACCCGAGAATACCCGGCAGGGTCATCACGGCCAGCACCGGTGCTCTCTTCTCGAGGCGGTCCGACAGAAAGGCGACGAAGCCAATGACAATGGCCGCGAACAGGTAGATGGGAATGGTGAGATAGTTGGCCTGGAGGGAGGTGTAACTAGATGGCTCGTCAGCATTTCACAGGACGGTGAAGCCAGTCACCGCGGATGGATTGCTTACCCAAGGCCGTGGATAATGGTCGGCAAGAAGATAGAATATCCCAGCAACGCAATGGAGTGGCTGAAGAGAGTGATGGCCGCCAACAGGACGAAGATGTCGGTCACGGCCAGCTTGACGTATTTCCAGTGGAAACTCTGCTCCTCGCCTTTGTACGCGGCGTTTCGATGAGCTCGGTCTCTCATGGCCTCTCTTTCGTCGCCGTTGAGAAACCAGGCCTTTTCGGCATTGGTCGGCATCAGGAACCACACCATAAGGCAAATGCCGCCAGAAATAATCCCTTCAATGATGAACAGCCATCTCCACGCCGGCAGACCATCTCTTTTGCCGCCAAGCTGAGTGGAATATGCGATCAGTCCACCAAAGGCACCAGATATTGCCGAGGCACAGTAGATGACTGCCACGCGCTTGGCCTGGGAATGTTGATCATACTAGGGCAGAAAATAGGTGTATTAGTATTCTGGGGACGTGAAGTAAAGGAGGGAGAGAGCGCCATAGATTCGACTGGGGATTTTCTGGCCAACCTACCACGGTAGAGATGATAAACACTGCGGCAGGGATAAATCCACCCTCGAATGCGCCCAGCACCAGTCGACAGCCCACTGCTTGGGCGTAGTTTTGCGAGAAACCGGTGCCAATGGTGGCGGCTGTCCAGCCAACCATTGCGACGGCCAGGACGCGGCTGGCACCGAATCTCTTGACTGCCAAAACCCAGGGCACATCACAGATGATGTAAAATGGATAGAACAAGGTCGAAATGTTGTTGAACTGAGTCCCCTTCAGCCCAAGACCACCTGTGCAGATTCGATCAGCAGCCGATCAAATGGGTCAAAGACTCGTCTTCTCGACGCCTGACATGTGGGACAAATACTCACCAACGAGTCCAAAGACTGCGGCGTTACCAATGTTCGTACGATCCAGCATCAGAACCAGCATCAACAAGCCCAGCTGTGGCATGAGGATCAGGTCGAATTTGCGCAATGCGCGCTTCTCGTGCGGGTTGATGGTCGACTCGATGGTACCTATGTTGGTCGATGTGCATTCCAGATCCCTACCGACGGGCAGGTCCTTCTCGTTGAGAAGGTCGGAGTTGGCCATTTTGTGTTCAATTAGATTTAGATTCTAGAATTCGAATTTACACAACCACGACTCTTGTGCAGAGACGAAGACGGACTCTTGGGGGGTGGTCGCCACGTCTGATATGTACGAAGCCCTCTGTGGCCACTCGTCGTCCCAAGACAGGATATCTGAGCTTGCTTTCTCGTGGCATCCGTGTCGATACGTGCTTGAGACTGGTAGATCCGATATGGGCTCGCTCACGTCCTCTATCTGCCAAAACCGGTCCCGGGGAAACAGGCGATACGCAGACGAATCTCCCTATCTAATCGACAGACTTTGTGGCATTGGAACTGACGGGATGGATTACCCGACAGACTCTGACTCCGACCCTTCTTGGTGAGGTGTGGTGGGTGGCCAAGGCACATTGCCTGTCGGCCAGGCTCGAGCGTCAACATGTCGGTTCCGAAGGGGCGAATCATTCTCATTCAATGTCCGACAAATCAGCAAGCATACCAGGTAGCATCTTGGAGCGGTCTCAAACCGGCTTTAAGCATTAGACCTGCCCGGATCGTATTGTAATGTACAGTATCTTACTGTTAGACAGCATGTGGTCCGGCCCACATGGCTGGGGTGGGTCGTCGCACGGGGTGTCCGGTCATTTCTATCTGATGGCGCACCAGTGGTTGTCTTTCACAAAGCGTCTCGCACCCCAAAGACCCGACCCTGAAAGCATCAAACTACAAGGAGTTGGATTGCAACACTCACTCAATCATGCCTCCAGCACGGCGAAGAATCTTCATCAATGTCGACATGGGAGAGGGTTATGGGAATTTTGTGTGTGGTCCAGACCAGGAATTGCTCCCTTTGATTGACCACGCAAACGTCGCTTGCGGATTTCAGTAAGCCTTCTCCCTTCCACCCAGGCCTGGCTTGGTGAATGGTCGCAGGGTATATTGACCGGGTTTCAAGCGCAGGAGACCCTCTGGTGATGGCTGAAACTGTGTCATTGTGCAAATCCCACGGAGTCAAGATTGGAGCACATCCGGGCTTGCCAGACATTCAAGGATTTGGGAGACGAGAGATGGCACTGTCACTGGATGAACACACGGCCAACATCGTGTATCAGGTCGGGGCACTCCAGGCCTTTCTTCAACGAGAGAACCTGGAGCTTCACCATGTGAAACCGCACGGTGTTCTTTATGGCATGATGGTCCGAAATCTTGACATAGCACGTGCTGTCTGGGCCGGCGTCCCAAGGGGCATGCGAGTCTTTGGCCTCGCGGGCACGCACATGGAGACTGCCGCGCGGGAATTCGGACTGGATTTTTGGGCGGAATACTACGCCGACGTTAAATATCGCGCCGACGGTACCTTGATTGTTGACCGCAAAAAACAGCCATGGGACTTGGACGACGTGAGAGCCCACGTCCGGCAACAACTGGAAAATAGCACAGTTACCGCGGTCACTGGCGAGACGGTCGAATTGCCGGTCAAGGAGTATCCAGTGAGCATATGCTGTCATTCGGACACTCCTGGCTGTGTCGATGTCGTTACTGTGACGCGAGAGATAGTTGCTGAAATCAATGCGAGAAATGGATATTGAGTGAGATTGAGTCGTCCGGCATGATAGAGAGGGGACCTTTGAACAGGTGCCATCCCACTAATCAGAGGGTGCCTTGAATGGACGTGCTGTAAACGTAAACATTTGCTGCTGTAGACATAGACGACACTACACCGCAAACGGCCTGATGGTAGGCAACCTGGAAGACGTATGCAGAAACTACTGTTGTATTGTCGAAGCCGACACAACTCTTCCACTCTCTCCGAAGCGTCCTTCTGCCTGGTTAACGCCGATCGGACGCTCGGGGCTCAAATAAGGGGAGAACTCGGAGCCGCTGTCCCAGAATCCGCGTGCCTACCCACCTCAAAGAGTCGGGACTTGGCTTTCTTCGCGGGTTAAGGACTCTTCCACCAAAAAATAGATTGAAATGTAGATTGAAAGTCCTGGAGGTCTCTCAATACAACCGAAAGCCTCTGATACGGCACGGCACCATGGAGGGCCTCAAGACCCTGTTGGTGGCCAATCGAGGCGAAATAGCCTGTCGACTGATCAAAGCCGCAAAGTGAGAGCTTTCGATTCAAGTCGTGAGACAACGGCTGACAGGTCTCAGGGAGCTGAATATCAGAGTCATAACAATATATTCCGAGACAGACAGTGCTTCTTTGCATGTCATGTTGGCGGATAAAGCGTGCTTACTGAAGGGTGACGCGCGCACGGCATATCTCGACGGGTCAGTCGAATCTTCACATCCGCCATTCCAACCGACGAAACTGAGTGCGATGATGCAGAGAGCAAATTATCGAGATTGCCAAAACAAACGTGGTCCAGGCCATTGTTCCTGGTTATGGCTTTCTCTCGGAAAATAGGCAATTCGCCGCTGCAGTTGAAGCTGCAAGCATGGTCTTCGTGGGCCCTTCTCCCCAAACGATTGAAGCCTTTGGACTCAAGCACATCGCGCGGGACCTAGCAATCAAGGCTGGAGTACCAGTAGTTCCTGGAACGGAAGGTCTGTTGGACACAGAAGCTGCCGCCATCGACAGCGCACGGCAAATCGGATACCCGGTCATGTTGAAAGCGACAGCGGGAGGAGGCGGGATGGGCTTGATGGTGTGTAACGACGAACAGGATGTCCACCGTCACTTCCGCGCCGTGAAATCTCGTGGCGACACTTTGTTCAAGAACTCCGGAGTCTTCATTGAACGGTACTTCGCCGCCAGCCATCATATTGAGGTTCAGATATTTGGAAACGGCCACGGGAAGGTGATCAGCATTGGCGAGAGAGAATGCTCTATTCAACGGAGGCATCAGAAAGTGATTGAAGAATGCCCCAGCCCGTTTGTGGTGTCACGGCATCCCGAGTTACGAACCAAACTCACGGAATGCGCAATTGGCCTCGCGGCGAGCGTCAATTACCGCTCAGCCGGCACAGTTGAATATCTTGTCGACGACGAAACCGGTGACTTCTTTTTCCTGGAAATGAATACACGCCTGCAAGTTGAACACGGCATTACCGAAATGTGCTACAATGTGGATCTCGTTCAACTCATGTACCAGCAAGCAAATGGACAGCTCCTCGGCAAAGGGGGCATTGGCGTCCAAGAGCTCGACCGCCTGCAAAACAGGCTGCTGAGCCCACGCGGACACGCCATAGAAGCGCGAGTCTATGCAGAAAACGCCGCCCGCGATTTCGCCCCAGCCACGGGACTCTTACAGCAAGTCGATTGGCATATACTCCCCGGCACCAGGATCGACTCCTGGATCAGGGCCGGTAACACAGTCGGTCACGAATACGATCCCATGCTTGCAAAGGTGATACAGTTTGCGTCCACCAGAGACGAGGCAATTGCTGCCTTGGATACAGTTCTTTCTAGGAGCGACATTTGCGGACCAGTTACCAACTTGGGCTTCCTGCGGTCAATTATTCAGCAAGGGCGATTCAAAGCTGGAGATACAACCACGGCATTCTTAAGCAACTTCCGGTACCGGCCAACCGCGATCGATGTCATCTCGGGCGGCTCTCAGACCCTGGTTCAAGATTTTCCCGGAAGACCGTCCGTTGGCCACGGCTTTGGACACAGTGGGCCGATGGACCCGATAGCTTTTCAGATCGCCAATGCCCTGGTTGGCAACCCTCTCGGTACTGAGGGCCTCGAGATTACCATCAGTGGGCCGGAGTTGCTTTTTATCAGTCCAGCCGTCATTGCACTGTGCGGGCCACCTGTCCATGCAGCTCTTGATGGCCAGGAGGTACCCTTATGGACCCGGTTGGATATTGCAGCAGGACAAAGGTTGAGAATCGGACAAATAATGACCGGCTGCCGAGTTTATATGGCTGTCTACGGAGGCTTCCCGAGAATTGCAAAATGGTTCGGTAGCAAGGCCACCAATCCTGGCGTTTCTGCAGGTGGATATCAAGGTCGCGCCCTGCGGTCAGGGGATCTATTGGAGGTGACTGGCGCCGAAAACCTCCCTGAATTGGGATGTGCTAGGTCCCTAAACATTCCAAAAAGTCTTTGGCCGAGATACTCTCATCATTGGAACCTGCTGGCAATACCTGGCCCATATGAGACAGGTTATTTGACGGCGGAAGACATCGACATGCTATATTCACAGACATGGAAAATCAGTCATAACGCCGCTCGAGGCGGTATTAGGCTCATTGGACCGGGACCCGAATTTGCACGCGCTGACGGTGGAGACGGAGGTTCCCATCCCAGCAATGTCATCGAATATGGATACCCTATCGGTGGATTAAACTGGACTGGAGGCGAGGCTGTTTTGCTTCCTGTGGATTCACCGGACTTTGGAGGTTTCATCTGCTCCTTGACTGTGGTTAAGTGTGACTGGTGGAAAATGGGCCAGATGCGGCCAGGAGATAGCGTCCGTTTCCATCGGGCTAATCTCTCCACCGCGTTGAGCTGCCGGAGGAGAAACGAGGATTTCATCGCAAACATCGTGACCTCTCTGAAGTCAGGAGCATGGGATCTGGTGACGGGAATTGACGATGCAGCGCCAGATTCCGAGAGCTACTCCGAGGGTGCAGATATTGTCAAAATCATCGAAGAGACGGCCCATCGGCCAAGGGTCACTTATCGAGCAGGCGGTGACAGCTTTCTACTGGTGGATTACGGCGTCGGCAAGGCTGACCTGAATCTGAAGTGTCGTGCTACCACACTCAAGAGGTCCTTCGAAACAGGGCAGAATGTTGGCAGCTTGAAGACTACCGGTGGGGAGGGTGCTGTGCTCAACATGGTGACCTGTGGAAACTCGCTCATGATCCATTTTGACAGTCTTCGTCTGGCGAGAGAGGACTTGGTCAGTCGGTTGGTAGAGCTCGAAGAGAGTCTTGGGTCGATGATGAATTCGACAATCCCCCATCGCCGATTTCGACTCCCGATCGTCTTTTCCCACCAGAAATTGGAAGACACCATCCATCGATACACGGTGAACCAACGATCCTCGGCCCCTTACCTTCCTGACCCGTTCCATTTCATGGCCGAAAACAACGGAATCACGGTCCAAGAGCTCAAGGCGCTGCTCTTGAATCTCGAGGCGGTCGTGATCGGCGTTGGATTCCTGATGGCCCTTCCACAGTGCATTCCAGCCGACCCGCGTCACCGGCTCAACGTGCCCAAGATGACTCCGAGTCGAGTTTTCACTCCTGGCGGTACTGTCGCGTGGGGCGGGAATGCCATTGCCATCTACACCCAGGACTCACCTGGAGGCTATATGCCCGCTGGCTTGACGATTCCGGGGGTTGACATGTATGGCTACAAGGCGGGATTCTCCCGAGACCGCCCGTGGATGTTCGAAGACATGGACATGATCACATTCTACGAAGTGGATCCCCAAACTTACGACGTCAAAATGGCCGAGTTCATCTCGGGAAACTACCAATTCGAATATGTCGATGGAGTCTTTAGCCTGGCGGATCACAACAAGCTTCTTGACGCCGTGGGAGAAGAGGCCAAGGAGTTGGATGCCACCAGGGCGGTCGCCCAACAGCGTATGGCGACGCTGGAGAAGGACTCGTTCGAGAAGTGGGTGGGAGAGAAGAAGACGAGAGAAGCAGGAATCAACCACGCTGAGCTGCTCTCAGGAGGAGGTGAGTTGACCACTTTGCGTTTTTCCCTTTTCCCTTTTCCCTTTTCCCTTTTCCCTTTTCCCTTTTCCCTTACACGTCGGTTCCAAGGGTTTCAAAATTGGCGTAGCGGCAGCAAATGTAATGTAATGTCCAGGCTAACCAGGTCACATCAAGCAGATCCCAACGTAGAAGTCATAGAGGCCCCGACCAACGCCAACGTTTGGAAAGTGACCTCGGCCAACGGCCAGATTCTGAAGGCCGAACAATCCATCATCACTCTGGAGGCGATGAAGATGGAAATCCAGGTGTCGGTCCCAGATCGACTGGATTCGGCCACTTTGGAACGTCTCCTGGTGGCGCCCGGAGATATCGTGGAAAGCGGTCAAGCGCTGGCCATTGTCAGGCTACCAAAGAAAAAGTAGCAGAGCCTGATACGTACTACAGTACTTTACTTCAGACTGTCAACCAGAACTCTGACTAGGCTGCAAAAGGCAAAGAAGCACATCTTCCCTGATGAATATCATCGACATCAACAATAACAATCTGCTTGAGAATATGTTTATTGAATCGTGGTCACGTATCGCAAACCCGGTGGAGACAATACCTACCGCCGCGCCCGTAGTAGCTGAGGCCGGTTGCCTTGGAGTGGGTGTGGACTTGACAGTAAAGGTAAATTACTACTCCGAGTCTAATGTATGGGTAATGTACGGTACGCTGCACAGTTTTTTTGGTCTTCGTTCGCAGCTTATCGCCGAGCTGGGCCAGAATCCTGCCAACGGACATTATTAAGCGTTGGCCTATCGTTGTTATGAAGCCTCATCCCTTCTGGTCGAATTAGGTATAGATGGCTTAAGGCCTCAATTAACGTTTACTACCGGTCCAAGCTGACCCACTTCACTATCGGTTGATCCGTGTTACATGTTCTCGGCCGAGAACCGTGGCTTCGTTCCCATCGAAGTTCTCGTCGTCGCTCGAGGTCAGGCTGATACTGTCTAGACGATGGCTGTCCAGCTGCCCCACTTTCCTACTAGTGAAAAGACGAATATGTTCTTGGGAGAGCATGTACACAGTATGTGTACGGCGATAAGACTGTGGTTCTATGCCGTCGGTTCCGGACCCGTCGTAGAGTTGCCATCCAACTTATCCTCGCCGGAGGCGAGGCGTTGATACCTATCTAGACTACGGCTGAGTGATCTCTTCGATAGCGATATGTAGAATTGAATCATACCGCTGCACAGAACGAACCCCTCCGGAGCTGGACCGGACCATTCATGGAGAGGCGCAGAAGACAGCAACGCAAGGCCTGCGACGTCTGCCGGCGCCGCAAAGTCCGGTGCGACATTCAGGTCGCGGAAGGTGATTCATGCTCTGTGTGCCAAAAGGGAGGCTTTCAATGCGTGTGAGTCTAGTCTGGCTTCTGGTTTTTGCTCCGTCAGACAAGGCCGTTGTTGCTGAGTCCCGCCGTCGCTTAGCACCCGGACAGACTGGCTTGCTCCAGCTCGGCGTCGCACGGCATCGGGTGCAAGGTCAAGTCAACCATCGATGCCTCCGCCTCCGTTGGAACCACGGCCAGCGACTTCAGAAGAATCCTTCCATCAGGCCTCGCCGCCGCTCCGAGAGCCGACTCCAAATCGTCGAGATCCAGACGAGAATGCCAATCACCATCAGACGACAGAGCCGCCAGTCAAGGAATCGGACCATCTAGCCCGTACGGCTCTCTCACGGTTCTTTCTCAACGGCGTCAGCTTCTCCAATTGGTACGTCTTCCAAGTCGCCGACGACTTCAGACTCGCCTATATCGGTACACCGGTGTCGAACCTAGCACATCTTGTCGACCTTCGACGCTCGCACAGCGTCCCCAGCCGCGACAGCCAGACCGAGCCAGGCCAAGAAACGACAGGGGACCAGCCTCCTTATGGAGGCATTGAGGTGCAAGCATGGCAGCAGATCGTTGCTACACCGACGCGCGATCAGAGCCAACCTAGTAATTTGCCATTGCATTATCCTTACCCTCAGATCCGACCACTCAACTCATGGTACCCTAAGCCTCAAAACTTCCTCCACCCTTCCCAGGATCTGGTCAAGGACCTCTCTTCATTCCCGCAGGAAGAAGTCCGCGAGGCTCTGGTCAAGGCATATTTCGACCACATCCACCCCATCTTCCCCGTGCTGACCCCTTCGACCTTTCTGCGGCGCGACGGCTCTTTGAAAGCGTTCCCTCCCCTCCTCCTCTACCAGGCCATCCTCCTCGCCGGCGCTCACGTCTGTACTCACCCTCGAGTGGTGAAGGAACGGTGGTTGGTAAAGTCGGTGTTGTTCCGTCGAGCGAGCATGCTGTTCCACCTTCGACACGAAACAGATCGACTGCATCTCACCCAGGCAGCATTGCTCTTCACGTGGCACATTCAAGACGGAGACACTGTAGCAGGAGGCCCCTGGTACTGGACTGGAGTGGCGGTACGCATCAGCTGTGGCCAGGGTGCCCACCGCCACAACTCACAGCTACCGATGTTTGAGCGGATCATGTATAAGCGCAGTTGGTGGTGTGCCTTTGTCTCCGAGGTCTTCTCTGCCCTCGAGACTGGGCGACCATGTGCATTTCGTGCCGAGGATATCGACCAGAGTCTCCCGACCCAGGAAGAATTAGACTGGGATCAACCTCAAGATGCGTCGGTGCATCATGTCGAACCCGCGTCTGATTCGGAAGCACATCCAGTGCCGTCGACCAGTCCGCCGCTCAAATACCATGGCCATATCATCGAGCTTGCCTACATTGTGCTGGACATCTTGACATTGAATGCTCCGTCCAGCACCCAGACGCTGGATGTGCCTCGTCTAGAAGGCCGACTGGCTCTCTGGTCCCTCCGGGCCGGTCTTGCCTCCAATCCGCGCGACGAGGATTTCTTCACCTGTCAATTGCGACTGTACTACAACATGGTGGTTCTGAATTTGCACCGCAACTACCGCACCGGCCCTCCTGCCAGCCAGACCACGTGTAGTACGGCATCGGAGAGCATAATTGCGGCCTTGGAGCGGATTGCCGCCCTGGACGCGCTCGGGCGGAGTCATTTTCTAGCCGTGAGTGCAGTCACTGCCGCAGGCATCCAGATTGTGCAGGACATCCGATCCGCAGTCATCACAGGGGCCTATCTGGTGTGCCTGAACCGCTTGGAGCGACTGGCTCATATGATCTACTACGCACGCATTCTGTCTCGGTCGTGGCCCAATGCCGAGGCCGTGTGCAGTGTCTTCGAAGGGCTGCGAAAGGACTACGAGGATCAAGTCGCCCAAGGCCTCAACCCCATGGACGACGACACTCACACGCCCGACGCCGAACCTGACTGGGACAGCCTCTTCGCCTCCATGAAAGGTCCAGAAGCCGGCCGTCCCATCACGGAAGAAGAATGGGCGAATCTGATGACTTGGGCCGACTCTTTGTAATTTCGTGGTGTAGAATGGAATGGAATGAGTGAATTGGGCTGCCATTTCGCACATGTACGGACTAACTGGGGAACAAGAATCACTTTGGTATCTTTTAAAGTCTAGAGCCCTTATCACTAGCAAGATTGTCGAGATCCATCGCGTGAGTGAAATGGGGAAAAGGAAATGAAATCCTCGCTGAGTCGGGCTATTTCGACCGTTTCCGGTGGTATCGCAATACTACAAGTCTAGAACGTTGCTCCGAAGACATCAGGCCCCGATAAGCAGGTGATATTGAAATCGATTGTCAGGTGCCAAAGCAGCCAATCTTGTCTGATTCTCATGTACGTACCCTAGCCTCTATCAGCAGATCTCATCGGGCGACGGAGGACCAGTCAGTCCTGTAGGCATGACTCCGGCCCCGGAGCCGACAGCGTGGGCCGGTTGGCTGCCGCACGCCGCTGCGCCGCTGCTCCATACACTTTGTACGTCCCTTTCGGGCCCCTTTAAGAGGCGGGAGGAGCCTGGTGCACTTTCAGGTCTTCAAGTGTAGGGTGTCTCATCAACCACTCATCGCGTCATCGTCTGGCTCTGGCTCATTGTCGCTATCATTGCAGAAATGTCGGATGTTGTGGATGTTGTCGTGATCGGCGCTGGATTGAGCGGTCTTCAAGCCGCCCTCGATGTGCACGAGGCCGGTCGATCAGTGACTATACTCGAAGCCCGCGACCGTGTTGGAGGCAAGACGCGGTCTGAAGTCCGGCCAGATGGCAAAGGGATCCAGGAGATCGGGGCCGCGTGGATCAACGACACAAATCAATCTCACATCTGGGATTACTGCAAGAGATTCGGCCTCACGGCTGTTGTGCAGGACATCCAAGGCTCGGTGGCCAGCGAGGACGCAGAGGGGAATTGTCATTTCTTCCCCTACGGTGAATTACCCAGGGTCAGTCGATCACGGTCAGCGTGAAGTAGCTTTTTTTCCCCATCCTGTTTCAGAGAAGAAAGAGAGTTCTCGCTGTCTCACACACACAGAAGAAACACGCTGACCGACCATTCATTTTCTCCAGTTCGCCCAATCGGAGGTAGACAGCATCCAAGCAATTCGAGACCAGTTCGAAGCGGCCTCGCTCGACCCCGAGACGTTCAAACAGCCCAAGCGTGGAGAGCTCGATCGAATCACGCTCGAACAGTGGTGTCGAAACGCCGGAGCGACGGATCTGGCCCTCAAAACCGCGGCCGTTTGGTGTCGAGGAACGCTGGGTCAAGATCCATGTGAGGTTTCGGCCCTTGCTTTTCTCGAAATCGCCCGCGGTGCTCTAGGCATCGTGAACCTCCGTCACGACGGGAAACACGGGGCCCAGCATCTACGCCTCCAAGAAGGGACCCAGTCCATCGCGATTGGCATGGCCAAGCTGTTGCCCCCTGGAACAATCAAACTCAGCAGCCCCGTGAGCTCCCTCGTCCGGGTCAGTTCGAAGCTTTGCCTCGTCCGCACCGCGAACGGACAGCAGATCAAAGCACGAAAAGTCATTCTCAGCATCCCCGGCCCATCGTACAAGAACATCGCATTCGATCCGCCACTGCCGCCTCGGAAATTCATCTATACGACCGCCGTGCGGTTCGGGTGCTACGTCAAGTATATCTGCCTGTTCAAGACTCCCTTCTGGCGTGACCTGGGCGCGTGTGGACTGGCGCAGAGTTTCCGCGGCCCGCTGAACCACTGTCGGGACACATCGGTCGATGCCCTGGGGAACTACGCATTGACTTGTTTTCTCGCCTCGGAACCAGGACGGCGCTGGTTTGCCTTGAGCGAAGACGACCGGCGCGAAGCCATCGTGAAGCAGCTGGGCGCTCTGTTTTCCGTCGGCTACGAGAAGGTCCAGTCGGAGCTGCTGGGCACCATCACCACGGAATGGATGCAGGACAAATGGGCCGGATGGGGCTGCCCGTTCCCTGCTCCTCCGCCCAGTACCATCGGCGCCGGTGAAGACGGCGACTGGCTCTGGGAGAAGGCTGGGAACATCTATTTCGTCGGCACTGAGTTGACCAACGAGTGGCGCGGCTACATGGAAGGCGCCCTGCGCAGTGGCAAACGAGGTTCTCGTCAGGTCCTTGCAGATCTGCTCTTAGATGCCAGCAGCCTTTGATGAGAGTGTCAGTGCGTTGGTTCATACAGGAGTATTCATAGAAGGGTTAGATTAGAAACAAAAGATCAAAATAGATGTTTTGGACGTGCCAAAACGATGAAACAGCGGTTTAGGATTTCTTAGTCGCCTCCTGATATCTATGACGGTTCTAGAGCCTCACGCAACAACACAACCGATGCCCCAACCATCTCTCTGGCATCCAATCTGGGAAGATTAGCTGTCCGCTGACTGGTTTCTATGTGACCCGTTATGCCTGAACGGTCGCGGCGGTAGCTACGGTCACCAGAAGGCTCACGTTTTGTAATTGGGCTTGTTTAGCCGTCAACAGAGAGGACAGCGAGAACTCTTCAGGCGACTCACTGGTTGGATAAGGCTTTCTTTGCCCGACCCTATCGATGTAAGGTTCAACGACAAAAGTCGTGTCCGATCACAGTTCTTTTTGTGCTGCGGCCGTTCCATCTAAGCTATTGCAGATCTTCTATCCCGGCAGCAATGCTATCTCGTAAGCTAGTCCAGCCTTTGGCCCCATAGAAAGACTTGAGGATATCTTCCGCCTTGTCGCGTGGAAGAATCTCAGACAAGTCTCTGCCTTCATTGATCGGCGGATCGGGGATCTTCTTATTGTCGGGACGGAGCTCACGCAGAATCTTGACCGCGTCCGTCCAATTCACGGGTTCGGCGAAAGCAAAAATCCGTCGGGATACAATGCTTGGGTCGAGAAGCGCGGCAACATGAAGGCGAGCGCAGTCTCTGACGTTGACAAACCATTCTAGTGCGCCGTGCCCACCCCGGGGGTCTCTGTCAGCCTGCGTCCTCGTTTGATGATGGATTCAGAAAGAAGAAAACAGAGATCAGGGCCGAATTTCAGGTTGGCCAAAAAGAAAACCGAGGCATGAGGGCGGCGAGGAGAAACTCACGAGCAGGCGTGAACGTAAACACGTTGGAGTCGCCATCAAGTAGCCTTCGGACCCATCCCATGGTACTGCCGGGAATCTCTGGAGAGAGGATTGCTCCATACTAGGTTCGCCCAAGTCGTCAGCGTGTCTGTCTTCTCTCGTCAATCAAAGGGGAACTGGCAGGAACCCACGTTTGCGGCCGGAAGGACCGTGTTGACGGCGAAAGATGGCTTGTTTTCCCGGACGAATTTCCACAGCGCTCTCTCACCCTCAGTCTTGGACGCGCCGTAGATGGCATACGGCAAATCCTCTGCGGGAGTGTCCTTGCTCCAGGCCGCGGCCACTGCAGCGTCATTCCAAGTATCTATTGTTCTCCAAAGTCAGCTTTCGTGCTGTGCTGTGCTGTGCTGTGCTCCGTGGTGGCATGTGCATGTGTGTTGAACGGACCAGGCGAGAAACTTACCTTCATCAATGACAATTCCTTCCTTGTCGGGAATCGGGATGAGAGCGGCAGTCGATGAGGATGTCAGCACAAAGCTTTTGACACTGGAGACGTTGGCGGCCGCTTGGAGGGCCGCCAAAGTATGTGCGATGGTGCCCTTGATGACCTTGTCCGGGTCGGGATTCAAGGTGAGATCTGATGCCTGCGTGGTTTCCGATTAGTTCGGCGCCGTTCCTGTTTCCCCTTTTCCCCTTTTGCTGGGTAGAGTCTCATTGACATACCACATGGAGAACGCCCCAAACGCCGTCCAGGACCTTCTCGAAATCTGCTTGGACTCCCAAGTCCGGCACGATGACAGACTCAAATCTATCGGGCCCGTACTTGGAGGTAAACAGGGCATCCAGCCACAGCTTGGAGTTGCGAACTGTGCCACGTACGTTGAACCCCTGTTGCAGCAGCTCGTCCACGATGGTCGACCCGATGTATCCGTTGGCACCAGTGACCAGCATCAAAGCGTTGCCGGGTTGTACTCTGCGAGGTGATTCCGCCATCCTGAATGCAAGGTGGTCAACGAACTTCCTGCTTGTTGTGAGTCGAGGAGGGCCTAGGTGACTTTCCCTGAGTACCTCTAAGTATCTAAGTATTGCCGGGTAGTTCAAAGGCTGTGTTTCAAATGCGCCTTCTTTTTGTTTGAATCACACGAGCAGCATTCTCTTCCGAACAAGGCATGCGGCGGGACCGATTGTGGGCCCACAGACGGAAGCAAATGGACGTTATCTCGAGTCTCCACCAGCAAACGGCTGGGCAGGCTATGTACCTGTCGGAGCCGGATCGTATCGCAGAACAGTGTACTAACTTTTAAATGGTATGTTGGAAATATGGTATTTATTACAGATGAAATTACAGCCGATCCAGCTACACCACTCAGGACCATAGATAGGACCACAGTTGTAGAGAGTTCCACCAATTCCCCCTCTTTGGGTTACCTGGCTCTCTCGCCGGGGAACAAAGCGGGACCTTCAGAAACGGCTCCGAGAAGATAAGAGTACGGGAGGTCCGACAAACAACCATGCTCCCAGTGCACAGGGCACAGATGTAAGAGCATGTCCGAGGCTTTGACCGCTGATTGCTTCCCGTCGAAAGTCGGCTTCTCTTCCAGCCGAACACTCCTTGAGGCTAGGAGGCTAGGACTACTCAGCAATCAAGTCTACTTAGGGCAGTCAATACCGGTCTTTCATTGTGAAGGTCTGTTCGCACAAAGAACTTGACAGCTCAACCTCAGGCTCAGGCAGGAGACTTCAACAGGGACTTGATCCAAAGAGAAACAACCGCCAAAATGCTGCAGTTATCTTCCGATCCAACATTCCACTACGAGCTTCTTCGGGTGCTTGCAGCTGCGGCGACGCAAGGGTCGGACGTGTCAGAACTGCTCCAAGTATGCCCCGACATCATTCCAGGGGATTTTCCATCCTGGTACGTGGGATTCGACAAGCTTGCAAAGACGGTGCTCCAAGGGATTTCCTCGGCCGACAAACACTATGACAACGTGTCTCTGCGCAATGCATATTTCCGGGCATCTCATTACTTCTTTGCGGCCGACTTTTTCCTGCACGGCAACCCAGACGACCCTCGCATCGACGAGCTCCATCAGCAGTGGACGACGCTGTTTGACAAGGCGATAGCGCTGCTGCCCGTGCCCGGCGAGCGCCGCAGCATCCAAGCCGATGGGTTCGAGGTGCCGGTCATCCTCCTTCGGCCCGACACCTCGGCGCAGCAAAGGCCTACCATCATCCTGGGCAATGGGTTCGACGGAGCGATGGAAGAAATGATGCATGTGCTCGGCTTCCCTGCGCTCGAGCGAGGCTACAATGTGGTCCTCTACGAAGGACCAGGACAGACTGGCATTCGACGCACCCAGGATATCGGCTTCATCCACGACTGGGAGAGAGTGGTCGGTCCGGTGGTCGACCATCTGCTCGGCCTGGATTTCGTGGACCCTCGCAAGATCAGCCTCCTCGGCTATTCACTGGGAGGATATTTTGCCGCTCGGGCCGCCGCTTTCGAACCTCGACTTGCCGCATGCATCCTCATTGACGGGGTGTGGGACTACTCTATCACGCTGGCGGCCACTTTCCCCCGAACCTGGAAGTGTTTCCAGGCCGGAGACGTGGCCGGCTGCAACTCGACGTTCGAGGACGAGGGTGCCCATGGGAATACGATGCAACGGTGGGCCTCGGAGCATTTCCTGTGGTCATTCAACAAGACCGCCTACGAGGGGCTCCAGGAGGCCCAGAAGATGAAGGTGGAAGACATCATCCATAACATCCAATGTCCTGTTTTCGTCGGCACCGCTCTGGAGGATCAGTTTGCCGCCCTCCAGCCCGGAAAGGTGGCCCAGGCTCTGGGGAAACAGGCGTACAGCTTTGCCCCGGGCAACGAGTACGCTGCAACGGCTCACTGCCACATGGGCGCCACGTTTTATATGGCTCAGGAGATCTTTGCCTGGTTGCACGATAAACACCTACACCACTAAACTGGGGGGCTAAGGGGCCCAGGCTCTCTCGCCCAAGCGGAGGCTGGTAGTAGTAACGCATACTGGTAATAACACATAACACATACTGGTAGTGGATTTAAAGCCACCAGGCGGTTCTTACTTGGGTGGCCCGAACGACTTGTCCGACAGTCCAACCCTCCGTTTCGGATTTATCGGCGGTATCTAACAATACGGAGTATACGCTTATATCCGTGAGTACCAGGTAACTTTGATTTTGCTGTATAGGTACTAAATCGGACCCATCCCGGAGTCGCGTAACGTCGTTACAGCCGGGCGACTTGCAGTTGGTTACCTAGATATATTGGTGGATCGTAATACGTATTAAGCAAGGTTTCCTGTCAGCCTCCGCCGTGCTATAACCCTCATAAGACGTCCGATTATCAATTCGGACCTCCTACCGGACTGCCAAGGCAGAAAACATCCCTCCCGTCCTTCCTCCTCCTATATTGCACCACTGCTGGCCAGGCAGGCCACTCTGCTACTCCCTCGCGGCCTTTGCTGAGATCGTTCGCTTGCACCTTTTGTCTTCTCTGTAACCCTCTCTTCCTCTGTTACTACAGTATCGTTCGTCGCCTCCTCGAGAGACTATGACTATGACTGCAACTCCCAAGAAGACCATCGTCGTCCTCGGCGCGACCGGCAATCAGGGCGGCTCCGTCGCACGCACTTTTTCATCTCTTCCCAACTGGCACGTCCGTTGCGTGACGCGGAACCCGTCTTCCGCCGCTGCCGGGACCTTGTCCAGGCTCGGAGCAGAGATTGTCCAGGCGGACCTTGCAGACTTGGACTCTCTCGTTCGGGCCTTCTCGTCCGCGAATGCCATCTTTGCAAACACTGACCTTTGGGCCACAGTGTCCGACCCGGGCACCGCCGCAAAGGCCGAGGCGGCGGGCAAATCGAGCAGTGAACTGGCCATGGATGTTGAAGTGTCGCACGGCGTCAACATCGCCCACGCCGCGGCCGGCGTCGCCACCCTCGAGCGCTTCATCTACTCGGCACTAGGCCCAATGAATCAGGCGTCCAAGGGCAAGTACACGCACTCGTACCACTGGGAGGCCAAGGCCAAGATCGTCGAGTACATCGAAACGCAGCAGCCAGCCCTGGCTCGGAGCATGTCGGTCATCTACTTGGGAGCCTACGTGACCAATCCGGCGCTGTATCCTCGCTGGGACGAGCAGGCGCGTCAATATGTCCTCGGTCTGCCCATGACGAAGGATGCCGAAATGCCCATTATCGATCCCACAGAGTCGACCGGACCCTTTGTCCGGGCGCTTGTCGAAGATGAAGACCCCGGGAAGAGGCTGTTAGCATACGACTCCAACAGCAACCTCCGAATGGGCGACTTGGCGGAGATGTGGAAGAGAGTGCTGGCCAGGGACGTGGCGCTCGTCTATGTCCCTCTTGAAGCCATGCAGGAGCGGACAGGTTGGCCCATTGAAGTGCTAGAGGGCCCTGCCTTCATCAGTGAGTTTGGCTATATGCATGGCGTCGACAATGTCATTGTCCCGGCACAGTTGAAGAACAAGGTGGTGACAAAGTCGTTCGAAGAGTGGCTGAAAGAAAGGTCCTGGGGAGAGCTTCTGGATCAAAGCAAAACCTGACCTTTCCCCCAAGGCTCTCTCTCTCTCTGTTTCCGTGGGTTACATCTCATCTCATCTTACTTCATGAGACCTATAGCCTGGGGGGCCGGGTTATCACAAAAGCCCTGCACGACTACACGAGTTCTCTATCCTTCTTGTTCCTATTCTATAGGTCAACAATATACCTGCTACCTAGCCTATGATTGTTTCGCCATACTGTCCGTCTCTTTTCTACATACTAGTATATACCTCTTCGTCTCTTTTCTCCATACTAGTATATACCTCTTCTTAGCTCTCACCATATATCAATTCTGATGCCGACTTCTAAGAGACTACAACAACTGTAATAGTGGCGGTGGAATCAGAAAGCATGCTGTAGTAATTTATTGAGGTTGTCGACTCTCGAGTCCCTGTGTACGTATATACATTCAAATTTGAGAGCCAGGACGTCTTGAATTGACCTGAGGTTGTCCGGACAATGTTTGTTGTGAAACATAAACCTGACAGTCAACGGTTTCGCCATCACCACACTATCTGATAGCCTTGTTGTTGTTGGCCGCTTAATGTGAGTACTGGCGCAACGGTCCTTTGTGTATACTAGGCTGACATCCTCCAAGGTCCTGTCCTTATTCTACAAAATGTTTGGCAGCGCAAGTCGTTATTTGGCGGCTCGACTGTGGATAGGCAAGAAGATTCTCCGTGCTTGTTATCACGGAGCACAGCGACGAGTAAACGTGTATGCTAAATATAATATGAATTCTAAGATAGAGAGTTCTATAGAGAGTTGCGAGGAGTGCAACGAGCATAAGGCTCTCTCGCAGTCACGTGTGCAACAAGGCTATGCCAAGTCTATGCCAAGCCTCCACGGTCACGTGGTACCACGTGATCCACAGTTGCACTCTTGTCATATGGCAAACTGTGGTATACAACCGTGACATTTATAGGTCGTTCGTGGTTCGAATCAGTCGTCACCGGTTATTCAAGGGCCTATACGAACCATTAGAAGTACTTAGTACGAAATATATACGACGCGCCTCGTTAGCGTGTCGAAGTATCTCGATGTCTTTATAAGCCTTAGCAAGGCACCAAGGCGCGTGCTGTCATAACAAGACGCGTCTGGGGGGTCTGGTCAGGTGACAGCATCACCACAACTACATTAATGAGGGCGGTATTCTGTCCTCTGTACGGAGTAATTAAATTCATATCCAACCTCTGTCGGGATCGTGCTTGTGCTCGTGCTTGTACTTTCTGGCATCAGTCAGGCACCATTGCACAACTGCACACAGGCACTCCTAGCCTCGTTGCCAACCTTACGAACTTACGGTGTACGGCGACGGATACCGGGCCTAGGCACCTACCAGGACCAGGGTGCAGAAGGCTTATCGGCCAGCGGAACCGCCACTACACAGTACTACAGGGTACTGTAGAGTACTAGAGTCGGCCCTGAACTGGGGGCACAGCCTCGTCCTGCCTGGCCAAGGCCTCAGCCACGACCGGGCTGGACATCTCACATGGCTGCCTAGTAACCGTACCAGGTAAGGTATGTACCGGACATGAGTCAGTCCCTTGTTCAGCCAGTGAGCGGCAGACCCAATGAGAGGCTGTACCCCTGCAGTCGGACTCATGATAAAGGCCCAAGGGCCCATTGAGCTGTATCTGCTGAACATCCATTCCTATTCATGCATGCAAGTCTCCTCACTGCTCTTGTCGATACTATATGCACCATTGTCAGCCACCAGATTGTTGCGTTTTGCTTGTCTGTTCCTGCATTACGGAGTACACACACATACACATATACGGATCCTAGCTACTCTACTACAGAGTAGTTGCCGGGCGATCGAACTGCAGCCTGGGCTTGGCCTGAGATACGTTTCGTATATTCATTGAACCCTGTTGGCGCCCCCCTCGACAACAGCACGACAGGACAGCACAACACACGACACATGACACACGACTACGATACGATACGTAAACGTCTTTTATGGCTTGTTTGTTGATCTCGCGCTTCTTGCAGCGTGGCCGTCTTTTCTCCCGTCTTCACTCTCCTGGCCGAACCTCATCTATCTCTCCCTCTCCCTCTCCCTCTGCCTCTGCCTCTCTCTGTCCGCCGCAGAATTCTCCTCCTACAACACACGTCACCATGGACAACCTTCCAGACTACAGCATGGTCTGCCCCATCTGCGACAATGTCATCGAGGGCCCATACTCAACCCCGTGCATCCAGTGCGCACGGCCCTACTGCTACGACTGCGTGAGGACTTGTTTCCGGACCGCGCTGCACGACATCAACAGTATGCCCGCGAAATGCTGTCGCGCCATCCTGCACCACGAGGTTGCGCGAGGCATTCTTCCCGATGGCGAATTCGAAACGTACAAGATGAAGCTGGACGAGCTCGGTACCATCAATCCGCTCTACTGTCCCGTCCCGACCTGTTCGACCTTTATTTCTCCTCGAATGTTTGATGTCGACGCTGCAAAGGTGTCTTGCCCTACCTGCAGCACTGTCATCTGTACCAAGTGCAAGCAGTCACTCGCAGCGACCCCTACCACCCCCGATGGTGACCACGTGTGCGCCAAAGACCTCTCCAGACAGGCGATTCTCGACACCTTTGGCTACAAGACCTGTCCCAAGTGCGGCACAGGAATCATGAAGATGTTTGGCTGTCCTCACATCCGATGCCAATGCGGTGCTCACTGGTGTTGGGCGTGTCAGAGACCCATCACCGTTTGCTATGAGAACCCGTGCAGTGACTCCGACGCCTACGATGCGTTTCAAAACGGCAATGACAACGGCAATGACAATGACAATGACAATGAGAACAATAATGACAATGATGGTAACCGTGACGATGGCGACGAGGTGCTCCGCGAGACCATGCAAGGGCCTGCCCACCTGTCCACTGAGGAGATTCCGCCAACAAGTCATCCAACACCGCCGGTGGCAGAAGAGGGCACTCCCGAGCCATCGGCGTCAGTACCACCACCAGCACCAGACCCAGCACCAGCATCAGCACCAGCGTCGGTACCAGCGTCGGCATCAAGGTCGGAGCCCTCCGAAAGAGCATCTTCCCGGCCCGTCAACCTAGACGACCCAGACACAGCCGACTGGGAAGCCATGTCTCTCGATTTCGGCGAAGACCCGCCCGACGATGAGTTCTGGGACATCTGGGGCTGCAGCCACCGGTTCGAAGCTTTCCAACAAAGCCAAGTCCCAGAGTTTTGGCTCGTCGGCGTCGACCCGGCCAAAGACCACGACATCCAAGTCGAGTGCATGGCGTGTTTCACCAAAGTCAGTGTCTGGGAGGATGAGGATGAGGACGGCGCCACCACCACCGAGGCAAAAGCCGTGGACGGCGACCGTGGGAGCAAGAGCTACAGCGGCCAACCTGCCCCGGCACCCAAAGCCGACACCGATAATGATAAGGGGAAAGAAAACGAGCCGCGTCTACCACCTTCTGCAGCGGATGCCGATCCTCATCCCGATTCTGAGAAGACACGGTCCGCTTTCCGCTGTGAGGTCTGCTGCGTCATTTTCTGCGCGAAATGCAAACGGGCGGCGGCGGCGAGGATCGATGACGCCGAACGAGCGACTTCTGAAACATGAGTTGGAGTGGAGAACGTGAATGAGAACGAGAACATAAACACAGCGGCACATATCACATATCACATATCCATCAGAAGAGGAAATGCTCGGATTAAAAAGTCCAGTGTACATATCATATGCATAGAAACGGTGGGCGTGGGCGTGTGTGCAGACCAGCCGGTCAGTCAGTCAGTCAGTCAGTAACTGGTTTCTGGTTCACGTGGTGCGGTGCGGTGGCGACGAGGATCGCACACTTCAACTTGGCGAATCTTGCAAGGCTCTGGGGTCTGGGGTCTGGAGTCTGGGATCTGGGATCTGCGGATCAGGGGCAGCGAGCGAGAGGATGGCATGGCCCGGCTTCTGGACGGAATGGGATGTAACGAAATGAGATGGCCTCCGGTCTCGGGGCTCGGGTCCTTGATCTCTCTCTGGTTTCTGGCCTCTCATGTCGAGAATGATGAGGCATGAACATGAAGCATAGAACATGAAGCATAGAGCATGACCATGAAGCATGAAGCATGAAGCATGAACATGAAGTATGTCCATCCCCACGTAAATACATACAATTGAGCCACCGACGCCTCCAACCCTAGAATTCTACCTGTTACCTACCACGCCTCCAGACTCCATGTTGTATGTTGTTTCCCTAAACGGAAGAGGTCTGTCTGTCTGTACCACGCCACGTCATGTCATGTCATGTCGTGCATGTCGACCATCTATTATCTATCACTCCATCAATCAATCAATGACTATAGCTCCCGTACCCCATATCTACTGTCGGATAGCTATAGCTCAGCCCCTGTGCCCTTGTGTAAGTTAAACAATATCGTGTGTGTGTGTGTGTGTGTGTGTGTGTGTGTGTGTGTGTGTGTGTCTCCAAGACGTAGGATTGTTCGTAGTTCGTTCATTCGCTGTTCTGGGAACAATCGACTCCAGTCTTCGATCATATGGCCGTGTTAGAATGTCACCTGGCGTTATAATGCCCCAGTTGAAGCGTAGAAGTAAATGCAAGGGTTGCCGGGTGCTGGTTCGGCCGTCGTATTATGTAAGATATGTGTGTATGTGTGTGAGAAATATTGATCGCCGCGTGCTGGCCCTTAAGCTAGCTGGATTTTTGTCTCTGTATGTACATACGTGTATGCGTGCGCCTGAGAGGGAGAGATCGAATCCTATGAGTCGTGTTCAGGGTCCAGAGTCCAGAGTCCAAGGTCCACGGTCCACGGTCAGTGGCAAAGCGATATGGCCTGCTCCAGAAGTTGCGTTGGAGAGAGCCAGGGCATTCATAAAGGAATGTTAGGTTGAAATCCTCCACTCCGAGTCAGGAATCCGAGTCTGACGAACATAGAGAAGGAGCCACCGAAAATCAAGGAGAGTTCATGAAAGGATCAAATCGTCTGAACCAGGGCCGAATAGGCTGATGAGAATGATCTAGGCTGTGTTTGTCGCGAGAGTGATCGTCAATTGTAGAGGTATCCAGACTCTATCGCTGGTTCGGAATTGGTGGCTGCGGATCGTCCATTGATTGGTGATACTCTTCTTTGCAATGTCGGCGTCCCCGTGGAGAGAGAAATTGAAATCTACAAATCGATGTAATGATGGCTGGATCAAGCCTGGTCAGGGTTTTCGCCTGTGGCGCTCATGGAACCCCATTCCAGACTGACAGATATGTGATCAGGTTGAGCGAGGGCAGTGTAGCGGTAGCATCGTACCTGATCCGGGCCGAACCGCGCCCCGCGGAATCCTGGCTGATAGATGCTGGTATACCAAGGTGTTGCTGTGGATAGCGCTCCCTAGGTATCTTTGGTGGGGTGATTTTCCTCGAAATCACACCCCCTGCGCCTGAGCCGGCGCCACGTATAAACTTCCCAATGATGGACATGCAAGCTGGCCGTCGGCATTCTGTTCAGGATGAAGAACATGGTCCACCCAGACGTCGTTGTTGAAGGGTAGTTGATACGCGAGCTGCGGACCAGCATCGGACTCGAGTTGCGGAACCATGGCCGATGATGAGCTGTCGACGAAGATGTTCGGCTTTGTCAAGACTTCGCGCGCAAACTTGGCCACCTGACCTCGGGCGACGATTGCACGGGGCCAGAACTGGCCGAAAGATCCCAGCGCCGACACGATCAACTGCAGACGTTCTTTAATCGCCATCGCCTGGTCGGCGCGCTCGACGATGGCATACGCGGGCAAATGGACGGTGGCGGCCGCGGTCAAGGCGCACATCAGCACCGGGGTGCAGTCGCTCAGCGGGCGTTGGATGGATGCCAAGTTCGTGATATTGTTGGCCGCGCGCAGAGCTTTGGCCGTGTGAGAGGCATACGTCAGCGCCGGGAGGCCGGCGGCTTCGGGTTTCGTGCAGGTGGTGCGGTAGTGGTTTCGAATGAAGGTCAATGTCGATCGCGGTCGATGAAGACCAAGGGCCGCCCAATTGATGATGATATGTGCAACAACCAGGCATTCGTCGACCGTGCCGTCGTGGCGGATGACCTCGCGCTGCTCCAGCGGCAAAGACAGGAAGAAGTTGGAAATACTGGCATCGATGGCCTCGACTTGCGGGTCTGTCACGGCGAAGGTGTCGGCGGCCAAGTTTAACACCGAGCCCAGGATATACGAAGCCTCAATCGCGTAGTCAAACGAGGAGAACTCGTAAGTTTCTTCCGAGAAGGCGCGGTTGCGCAGATCGGCGAGGCTACGCGGCTGCGAGGACGTCCGGAGTTCGTCGTAGTCTTCCTCGGGTCCCGGCAGAGGCACATCTGTGGGTGTCGAGTAAGTCCGGAAGGGCTGTTGCTGACCGCCGATGACGGCGATCAGCCCCTCTATGATGAGAAGCATCCACCATGTACGGCGCCATGATTCTTGCAGGGTGGGATTGTTTTCGCCGTACTGAATGGCGAAGCTGGCCCGATTCATTCCAATTCGAATTGCAGTCTCGACGGCTTTTTCCAACCCGGCAGCCCCGGAATCCCCGTCGAACCGCGCATAACAGACAAAGGCATAGAGAAGCAGGCCCTGGACCTTGTAGCCATCATCGGGTACGTCGTCCGACAAGATGATCTTTGCAGCATTGGCCAAGGCGACGCGGTTGGCGTGAGGGAGGAAGTGACTGGCCACATATCGGATGACCGCTCGCAGAGGGGGTGGGATGGAGGAAGGGGACTCGAGATACATCTTCCGCGGCACGATGAAAGGGTGGGCCGGGTAGAAATGTTTGTAGAAGAGTTCAATCAGCTCGTGCGACTGGACCTCGGCCGGATCTACCAGAGCCAGATTGGGATCGCGGGTAATGGACATGGTGGAATCGCTTTTATTGCTGGGGCTGGAGGTTGGTATCAAGTTGTCAAGGGGCGCGTTCTGGTATCCGAACGGATCGGTTATCAAGGCTGAATCTGCAGCGAACAGTTCCTGATAGGTGATGGCAGCGCGCATTCGGCTAGTGTCGGCCTCTTCCCAGCCCCGAGTGCCATTCTGTGCAGGGGTAGCGATAGATTGGGATTGGGATTGGGGCTCTGGCAGGATTTCGTCTGCTGTGAGCTGGCCTTCGCGCCTTTCATCAGTGAAACCCTGCGACCTGCGAAATTCACGATAGCCGCGACGGGAATCGACCCAGAAACATCCCCCCTTGCGATCGGCACATCTGCTGCAGAGTGGCCTTTGGCCATCGCATTTCAAGTGGCTCTTCCGGCATGGGATGCATGCCAGTAGACTTGGGGCCTTCGCTCGGGGTTTAACAGACGTGGTGGTGGAGACTGAGGTGCCGGTGCTCGACATTATTATGGTGAACGTCCTTCGGGGGCGTTCAGTCTCCTTTTCATAACTAGGAAGAGTGTTGGGTGAGCGTCTGAGACCACGGCTCGGCGAGGCAGGCAAAAAGAAGTCTGTCTGAGCCGGATCAACAAGGGTTTGGGGTGTGTACTGCTACTGGGAGGCACCTTTGCTGCTTCCAGGCCAGGGCCAGGGCAAGGGCACAAATGATGAAGCGCCGGTGGTCGTACCGCGAGTGGCCGTGGTGGTACAGAGAGCAGGAGCGGATACCGACACCAAGACTGACACCGATACCGATACCAACAGCCTACAGCCTGATGGATCCAGAAATCTATACGGTGTAGTAGTCAGTAGTGTATTTGTAATTACTGGGAGAGGCGGAGGCCGATGAATCAGTCAGTGAAAGTGAAGGAGAGGGGAGGTCGGCATCTCACGTGGTTTTCGGGGACTACGTGGAGATAGGATTTCAGGCTAGTCCTGTTAAGGCATGGATGCCGAGAAAGATTATGCTTGAGTGAACGTCGCTTGCCAAGCTGCCAAGCCTCTCGGGGATCACACTCACGTGATCGGGGTTTGCAGCACACGTACCCTGACACGTGACACCTCAACTGGAGCCTGGCATTCTTGGGGAGGTTTCCATCGTACAGGCCTCACCTCGCATTACGTGCCCGAGAAGATGAATCGCCCTCGACCACCAGCGAGGATTGATGACCGCCCTGGCATGCTGAACACTGGGACGATCACGACCAGATGCCAGACTCAGCAGTAGTCAGAAGCGAAAGCGATGACTTGGTGCCAGGTGCAGGTGCCAGCCAATTTGCCAGGTCTTCACGACTCCTGTATCTGAGAAGAACTAACAAGTGGATTTGATTGATCAGCTTTCAAACACTTCCTTCACCCGCCTTTAACACATCTAGTGAGCAGGGTTTTAGCAATCCAATCGTATCGTCTGGTCAGAGAGAGGTCCGACGACCTACTTCGAGAGATCCGTCGGCAACCATGGAGCAATCCAAAGCCTCCGACTCGGCCGCCTATCTCACAGCTCATCTCCTGCCGTTGCTGAGACAGCCACTCTCCGCCATCGATTCGGCGTACTCCCAGTCACACCAAAACATCCAAACGATTCTCAGACGTCAGATAGTGCCCAACTCCCGGCCGGGTTGCCGCATACAGGGTGAGGAGGCCTTGGTAGAGAGCCTACGCGACGCAAGCTTGACCGAGATTCTCTTCACGCTGGCGCGCGTCTATGATGCAGGACATGTTGCGATATGCAAGAACTACGCGTCGGCAAAGAGGGGCAAGCCTTACAACGTAGGCCTCCTGAAAGATCCGTGTGTTGATGTCAGCCGACTGACGGAAGGGATTCGCGAAGACCAACAGAAGCGACACGAGGATATTAAGTTGATATCTAGCCATGCACAACCCAACGTCCTTCAAGCCACGTGGATGCCACTCCCATCCATGAGCTTTGATCATCTTCCAGTTCTCAAATCGCTGTCCGAGTTACTCCCCGGGGAAGTGTCGCCTGGGAAGGAGTATGCTGGCATTGGCGGCGGAGGCGGCTCCGACATCATAAGTGCCAGTCTTCTAGGCCATCTTCTCCGGCAGATTGACAAGGAAATGAACCTTCTTGTCTCTACGCGAACATGGCGGACCGGATCACAAGGGAAGGAAGGCACGAGCCTGGGAATCAAACGCGAAGTCCATCGTCATGGCGGTGCTGCCGTCTTGAACAACAAGCCTGTAGGAGGCACCTATCGCATCAAACCTGAGACTTGGACGGAAGGCCGAGACCTTGAAACGGTCCCGGTCGGCTCCCACCAGGATATTTTCCTCGTGCTTGACCAGGGAGAGGAGACCCAAGGAATCGCCGAGAATGAAAAAGCAGATCTGTCCGACCAATTCCGAGCCGTGCTCTCACAGTGCGCTGAGCTCGACACCGTCATTGTCGTCGACACCGGCGGGGATGTGTTCGGCAGTGATTTCGCGGGATTCACCACGCCTGATCAGGACGTCCGCGTCCAACGGGCAATGGCCACACTCCAAGACAGCTATACGAATCTAGTGACAGCGGTGCTCGCTCCTGGCGTGGACGCGCCCGCTGACGCCCCGGAGAAGGCCAAGCAGGCTGGAGGGAAAGTGTACAAGCTCCGGCCTGAAGAACGGACCCTCGTTCTCGATCTTCTTGGTCCGAAGTACCACATGGACGGGTCGGATCCGGATCGATATGGCAAGACCAATCTGTGTCTCCAGGCGGCTTTGAGAGGTCGGCGAGGCTGGACTTGTCTAGATCTGCCGACCAATGTGGTGGATACATGGGAGAACCCATGGGGATGTTTTGCATATGTCAGAGAGTGCATGAGCGATATTATCCTGATGCCGCTGTTGGACTTGTTGCCGTTGATTGATTGAATCGATCTGACACACACATAGTCAACGCTCCCTAGTCTGATTTTATAGTTACAGCAGATACAGCGAAGGAGACAATTATGAATATCAACATCACTAGAGTGATGGTGATGGTGATGGGTGATATATCATGGGTTACAATACCAATACAGCGATGGTGACATATGGTATGTGAGGATGATGGATAATCTAATCCCGGAAGCCATGCAATAGCACATGATGAATATCTAAGGAATATGTCGCAAGACAGTGGCGAAATTCCTAGTCGGGGTTGTCTCATCATTTAAGGGAGTTCGGGCATGTCTGTGATTGATTGATTGATTAAATACCTAGGTAATTAATTATTGATTGATTAATTACTCGCCAACCTCAAATCCGACCGCCTCGAGCCCACTTAACTCAGCAATTCAATTCAACTCAACTCAATTCAATTCTGGCCACCATCACCATTGCGCTTGTCTAAAGCCTTACAAGTAAACTCAGGGGGTCCAAGGCTTAGGTGGGATCCTATCGTAAGCAGGCCGGACTGTTGCACGTTTCGTTCTATACGTTATATATATGTCAAAGGTTGAAAAGTTCCATGTTCTCTATCAAAGGGGTATGGGAGGCCCGGACTATATACTGTAGGTGTGCCTGTACCATATACTACAATTGCTACTGCCACTACCATTACTACTATGGCCACTGCCACCACCACTACCACCACCAAACAAAAATAACAATAAGCAACAGCAAGCAACAGCAAGCAACAGCAAGCAACAGCAAGCAACAGCAAGCAACAGCAAGCAACAGCAAGC